ATTACACAAATAAAATGTGCAGATTATTTTAAAGAGTCAAATGAATTGCCAATTTAGATGTTGTCCTCCCTTCGTCCTCTCCAAGTATTCAGTAGTTTTTTTTTTGAGTCGTTTGGATTAAAGAATTTATCATTTAATGTTTATCTCACTCTCGTGAATGTGTGTATACAATTAATGACAGCTTCAAGCGAGAAAGAGAAAGAAAAAGATAAATCCTGGACTATTTAGTTTATTTAGAAACCCCGGCCGGGTTGCAAAAAGACACGTCACTGTGCATCTGCAGAGCGCGGGAGACTCCCTGTGGGAGTTTTGACAGTTCTGGTGCAGTACAAAACACAGGCCCGTAGCCGGGGGGGGTTCGAGTGGTTCGAAAGACCTACCCTTCACCAACAAAGGTTCAGAATTTGTCCCATACATGAGCTCATTTGAGCAATATTGACTGCTACGCCATCATAAATAGTAAAAATAACCCATCAAAAAATGCTTTAAGACCAAGTGGAATCCTCTGTTGACTGTTGCGTCAGTGTGACTTCAGCTAATCAGTTTTTGGCCAATGTTAACAAATATTTTAATTTTACAATCTGCCATAAGTGGCATCATGTTTCAGTACTTTATTGTTTTTAAACAGAGAAAACATTTAAACATTTTTAACTTTTATTCTAAATCTTGGACTTTGTTCTTGAAACAAAAAATGAGCAATAAAAAGGTGTGAAGCACCAAAAGCGGCTCATATTGAAATTTATTTGAATCCTATTTTGCCTATTATTGTTATCCATGAATAAAATAAATAAAAATAAGAATTATTTCAATTGTCTTTATTAAAAATCTTTAGGAAATATATTTGGTATATCAAAAGCTGTAGTTATGATGACCATCCGACAAACTAATTCCAATAGTATCTGGATGCAGCCTTTATGATGCAAGCTGAGATTGCATCACTCAGCATCACTTGGCTAATGACTCATGCTAGCTAACTCTTACCATTGCCATTGTCAGACACAATGCACTCAAATGGAGCGAGTGACGTCACTGTGAGGGGTAGGGTTAGGGGTGTGGTTAGGTGAACCCATTAAAAAGCATTGGATGCAGCCCAGATTGCACTGCACCAGGTCTGCATCCAGACTCCTCTAAAAATAGCTAAAAATAGTCATAATAATCATTATTAAATAGAAAATCAGGCATAAAAAAAAAACAAAAAAAAAAACACCCCTTTCAGCAGGCTGGCCACGGGTCTAAAACGGGTAAACGAGAAAAGATTTTCCACTACGTAATCGATCGTGGATGTTTGGTTATAGTGGGCAGATGAAAAAAAAGTGTAAAAGGATGATAATGATATAAAAAAAAAGTTTTACTAAATATACTTGGGCTGCCGTTAACATACCTGGGTAGCTCCTCCAAGTACAGTCTATGTGTGGGAAGCATTGAGTTAAAATAAGCAGTTAAAATGATAACTATACTACAAGAAAAACACTGAGCAGAATACATCTAAGCAGTATTAGCATCAATCTAAAAGCCTCATGATTCACGTGCGTACTGACCTTTACACAAAGAAACCGGGATATTAATAACTGAAAAACGAAGCCTGAAAGCATCTTCAAAAGGAGAATTTTTGTGGCTCCAATCAGTGAAAAAGCAAAGAATCACAATGTTTACTTGGCTAATGACTCATGCTAGCTAACTCTTACCATTGCGAGAATAGACTAGATAAGAACAAAGCGTCAGAAAAATCAATGGAGACAGCTGAGACATGATGCCGCTTAATGAAGCCTGACGTCTGCTTCCTCTGTTTTCATCGTGAAATGAAAAATTACAGATTTGTTTGGCAAGCAGCTGGTTGAACAATTTTTGTGACATGGGTGGTTAATGTAAAACATAATGAGATGTGTTATAAAATGCCATTTCGGATTATAGTCTCCTTTGTTCTCGATGATATGGGCCAGAGATGTGCATTTGGGTCATTCTGACTCCCTCAAGTACTCAGGGTGTGTCGCTGGTCTGTATTGTATTTGGTTATCATGTTTCACTGTGGTTTTTAGAGAATCTGACACATTTTTGCACAAACTGAAAACCAATCCCAAATTTGTTTGGCAATGGAATGCACAAAAAGGTGGGATCTCATAGGATGCATGCATTCTGCTATCATAAATCAATTTTAAAAAGAAGGTATCTTGGTTAAAAAGATGAGATGCAATCATTTTATCTGAACTTATCCATGACATGAACTTACCTTACACATTCTCTTTCAGCCAGTGTTAATTCAGTGCTACTAAATTGTAGAAAATATAATTATTATTCTTTTTTTATCCTTGATTTTCTATTAGTATGTTGTGTATGCTTTGCCTAAAGAGATCTTAAATCATTTACCTTACAGTCATTCTTTGCCATATATATTTTACTATATTTTGTATGCACTGTCAAATCATATGTTAATCTAAACTGCCCTTTGAGGAAATGTAATTTGCATACTAATGAGGCATTTTGCAGAAAAAACTATCTCGGACAAGAAATATGCAGCAGAAACAATAAAAATAACATGCATCTCTTGCTTCTGATTTCCTGTGTAACCATTTAGGAAAACATATTGGGGCCTATGGAGGTCTCTAAGCATGCATTAACATCTATGCATTTAACTGGCCCAGCTCTTCTGTGCAGAAAAGAGGAACTAGAGATGGTGATCTTTTTCTGTGTATATAAACTGGGTCTTTAGTCCTAAGAAAACACTCGCAGATCGCCTGGTGTGTTCGCTTGGATAGCATTGTATAATCAATAGGACACAGTTGTGCGACCTAGGGCCCTAACCGTATTATTCATTTGTACTTAATAAAAACCAATATTTTTGAAATTGATCTCCGCCTTCTGAATTTGTATTGAACATGCATGGAATAATAGACCACATATTCCAACAGTATGTTTACATTAGCACAACATTTAACACCAATGCTAAATTCATCACAGAATCCAAATGTTTAAAGCCCCAAAACACCAAAAATGACCAACAACCAAAATCTAAACGCAAACTTTTAATCAAGCAATATTGAGTGGTTTGAGCATCAACAAAATAATTCTCATTACACGCACACATGGACCAGCAAGTACAATTAATTTTCTATTTTTCAGAATAATGAGTGCATTTCTTTTGAATTGAGGCACAGTATTAATCACAGCCCTTGTCAAAAATGACCAACAACCCTAGAAGCAACACTACAAATCACTTCAAGTCCAACTTTTTCTTACAATTAACCCATGACACTAGCCTCAGGCCTTTTATTAAGATGGTTTTTGTTGATCTGATTACAAGTGAATGAAAAAATACACATTACCATTCACACCCGGCATTTAAAATGTACCTTTTGTCAACTTTCGACCACTTTTAACCACTTCTGTAATGAGGAATGTTTTCCCTGACCTTTCGATCTAATACTGCCAAAGCTATCATAATTTTCATCATGTAAAATAAGAAAAAAAGCAATCTTATTAAAAGTACCAGATCAATTAAATATGATTTATGACCAGACTATTTTATGCTATGACTAATGAAATTAAAGATAATTGATTTATTTTATTTCTAATAAACTCCTATACACACTTTCTTCTCTTTTACAGGTTTAAATATGTACATTTTATGCCTTGATTGCTGTCCTCACATCACAGCAGCTAAAAGATGTCCACAGATATAACATTAGCCATGGGCTTTTCGTTGCATCCAATTTTTTGTTTCACTAATACCATCCTGGAGATATTAGGAAAATGAAATAAAAAGACTGTTAAAAATGATGTAACTATTTTAATAGCTTGAATGTTTTAATATTATAACATGAACATACTAATTGCAATAAACAATAGTTTATATTTCCATTTAGTAAAGAAATAATGGAATTATAGGATGTACACTTTCTTAACTGCAAAATGTTTCTTTGTTTATATATTTAGAATTTGTTGGCATCATTTGCAATGATAACAAATTGCAAAACTAGTACTTTCATTGTTTGTTTTATCTATTTTTTTTTTGTAAAGCTGCAACGGTCCATTATATGTCCACACTAAACTGCTTTAACAAACGTAATTAAGGGATTAAAGGCAACACCCTTAACTAATTCTCGTGGGTAAGGAGAAATCACCACTTAAATGTCTTACTATGGGGGAAAGGTGCTTATTGTAATGGCAGAGTTATATAAAGATTAAAGCATCAGAATTGGTACTCATATTAACCGATCACCACAAAAAAAAAAAAGTTGGCAATCAGTTTTGGTTGCAAAAACACTTATCTTAGCATCCCTATCTTTTGTTTTTATTGCATTTGTTTAACAAAAATCTTACAACATTGAAAGTAACTAAATTAAGTGCCTTTGAATAGCACGACTATGCAAAGAATCAGCAGAATCAGGTGAAAAGATTGATCATCCAACACATGCAACATCATCCAAAGTTTCTGAGGCTAAAATTGTGTCCCAGAATGTGGTTTTGAATAGAATAGAATAATTAAAAACACATTAAAGACCTATAAGATGAAGCATTCACAAAACAGTTAAAGGAAACTGTATGATCTGCTGAAAGATTAAACATATCAATACCGGTAAGAGAACATTCTACTTTATATTTTTTTTCACCTCCAATAGAAATGTTTAGATGATCAATGAAAAAAGTTTACATCTTGTATCTCCAGTGCTCTTCTACATCACATCTTGGTTTATAAATGAGCTCAGCAGGCATGCTTTAGCGACTAATTGAACGCATTTAACCATGTGTGCGTTAACACTAAGAGACCATCGGGTTGAATACATTTTCAACAAACTCTAGATGTGCTTGAAAGTGTACGTTCCACACCTGTAATTAGCATTGTGCACTTGTGACTGGATCGACAAAACCTCTTCTTAATACCAAGTGTGAACAGGATCTCAGATATACCTTCACTTAGCCTCCAGTCTACATGCATCATCTATATAACCCATGAATTTTAACAGGCAAGATCAACTAATGGCAGGAATCACCACATTTCTTACCCTGTGTTTGGTCGATGTGTCCCATTGTTTCAATCTGCTCAACGAGATCATTAGAGTTCCACTGACTCATCCCCAAAAGCATGGCCGTCTTCCCCTCCAGCACCTCTGAAAGATAGAACACACAAACACACACACACACACACACACACACACACACTTAATGACATATGCAATCAATCAGGACACTGCAGACAATGTTATACTCTACTCGGCTTGGTAAAATCACATGCAATGCAGCACTTTATCAAAGACCATTAAGATTCATTGAATTATCTTTAAATGCAGCTCAAGTCATAAAGTGATGTCCGACTAATGGCCACAGAGCTCATCAGCCACTCCGCGGGTCCTTGTGAAACAGTTTGAGTGCTTGATGGAGGACTGTGTGGTTCACTGCGTGTGACAGCGAGCTGCAAGCCCATTGCCATGTCGTATCTTGGTGGGCTGATATTTGAGTGTGGAAGAGAGGTTGTGACAGGGCTCTGTCAGGCCTGCTTGTTCACATCACCACTCAACCGAATGGCCACTGATTGTCATTTGCTGTTTGCTTGATGGCCAGTTTAACCTTTTTTTTGTGTTGCCAACACAAACAAGAGTGGACAAACACCTCTTTTCCATTAAGGTTGTTTAAGTGCTAGTTCAGAGCCAGAGCTTAGTTCCAAATTGGTTCTTTGTTTTTAACACCCAAAGCACAGGCTCTGAACATGTAAAAATAAATGTGTTTGACTTAAATGATGACTGCAGGTGATGGTCAACCAGATTAGCTGAGTGCAGTTGGGAGTGGAGTTAAACAGAGCACACTTTGGGTTCTCATAGTTTGCTGCAGTCATAGCAGACCATATGGTGTAATCAATGATTAATAATGAACACATTGGGCCCTATCATACATCCAGTGGAATAAGGTGCAAGACGTGATTGGCACGATTTGTTGCTATTTTCAGACCAGCACAATACTAATTTTTGCATTTTGCACCACGCTGTTTCAATAGCAAATCCATTTGCACCGTTTTGTGCACTCATGGGTGTGCAGGCCTAGAAAGGAGGTGTGTTAAGGCGCATTGTTGGCACGTTGCTATTTTGAGAAAATTAAATAGACTGCTACATTGACGAAGTAAAAGCTAGTCTAATGTCCAGCGCAGAGCGTGTTAGTTATGCGACAAACAGATCCAAATGCTTAATACACACAGGATGTACAGCAATACACAGATATGCTTACATATAAAAAATTAAAGAATTAAAATGTTACAAAATTTTTGAATTACTACTGTGTGTATTGTATAACGTTATTATTAGCAGTATTATTGATTATATGCATATTTATATTTTTTTTACATAGAAACAGGTTTAGATTTGTCTACCTGTCGAATTTGGGTGACGTATGCATCACCATATGGGGCATAAGAATAGTATGTGTGTTTGTATATAACCACACTTCCTTGTTAATGTACATTTAATTTCCTGAAAATTAGAACTGAATTTAGAAATAGTTTTGAAACAAATCTTTGCGCTTAACAAACAAAATTAAATACAGTATTGTTAAAAGGCAAAGGTGAAAATCTGTGGTTAAAGCACCACCCAGCGGTCAAAAGCTGCAGACGCATCAACTACCACACCCGCCGCTGTATGAATGGCGGCAAAGGGAACAAATTGAAGTAGTGACATTTGTATGTAGGCTAATAGATGTCTTTAGTGAAGTGTGTACAACACTGTTTCCTTATCCACAAAAGTAAAGGAGTAAAGAGTAAAAGTAAAGAGAACGTAAAAAAAGGCCAAATGAATAAGGCTCATTCTTCATCCTCGTGCAGATGGTCTGTTAAACTGTTTTCTCGCTAGTGAAACATTCAGTTTTTCCACTTACAAAGTTTGCCATGTAAATAGCAAATACGCCCTGGCATGATGCAACTAACTCTTAAAGGAATGGGAGATGGTACTCTGATTGGTTCAATCCATGTTATCCTTAAAACACACCCATAAGCACAACCCTGTTATACCATGCACCAGGGTGCAAACTGTGTTTTTTCGACCTTAAAATAGCAAAAGTGGATTCGGACAAACACCCTTAATGCGTTTGTGCCATGTGCTTTAGACTTGGCACCTAGATCATTAAAATGGAGCCCATTATATTACAAATCTGATATTTGAGTTATTTCATAAAAAATAATTATTTAAATATGCTATGCAGCTGAATACAGTAAAGCGCATGTAATAAAAAAGGTTCAAAATGAACCTACGCATACAATCTGGTCTATAAAAATAGTAATTAAAAAAGTGATTCATGGGAAAAAAAAAATATAGCAAACTGTTTATAAACATGATTTATGAGATGGTGAGTTAGTTTGTTTTGAAAGTTTATATTCGAGTTAGATTAAAATTGTCAAATAGTAAACCTAACATGTAAGTGGCCAATATCATGCAGTGAATCTGGCCAATTATAAAACTACTGTCTCATTAAAGCTCCTGCAGAAACTCAAATAAAATTTCAGCCGGCTGCTCTCAATACTTTACCACACGTGTCAGGGATGTTGCTTTGTCACCATCTCAACTAAGAGAAAGTATCTAACCGGCATGCATTGCTTTAAAGTAATGCAAATTAATCTCAGTATATACTAATTACAGCAAACTGCACAAACATGATATTCTCACTTATAGCTATCTCCATCAACAGATTATGACGAGCTGCAAAAACAGGTTATTCTTGTTTGTACTGTAATCTCGGTCTATACAAATTACAGTAAACTGCACACACACATTTGTTTTAATATTCTCTCTTTACATATCCATCTATACAAATTATTGTGAGCTGCATAAAAACGCTGGATTCACTAAGTTTAGACGTTAAAACGGTAGGTTAGAAAAACCATTCAAATGTACAGTTATGCAACTGGTGATTGGTCCACCAATATGTGTTTGGATTTAGTGGTTCCATGTTCGTGTTTCTTAGAAGAATGAAACATATTCAGTGAAAAAGTGATCGGTTTTGTGATGACTCTGCAGCCTGTGCAACAGCCATCTCTTAAAAAGCTCGTCAGTCAAACTAGCTCTAAACTGGCAATAGCACCAACTCGAAATTAACCAGTTCATGCTGATGAAAAAGGGTAAAAACATCAGTGCCAATAGTCTTGCGGTTAGCATGCCAACATATAGAACCAAACAGTCAAAAAAAAATGTTTGTTTTTTTAAAATGGGGTAAAATGTGCACTTGTACGCCCACAGAAACAATGCAAGGGAGGCACAGAACTGAGAGAGGAAACCTTTTAAATCATAATCCAAATACCGGCAGTTACTGAGTCGTGTCGAATGGAGAAGTGCTTAGAGAGAGAGCAGGAAGAACATAGATCTTCTGAGGTGCAAAATGTGCTTAGTACAAATAAGAGCAACGACAGCAGCCTGACTCCTGAAGGAGAAAAAAAAACACCTAATTCAGTAAATAAAGCACACAGACTGCACAAGGGTCTGCCGCTGAGCATCAGTGCAAAAGGATAACAGCACAAAGTCAGAGCTAAAAGGAGGATAAAAAAACAACAAAACAAAAATGTGGAAATGCACTCTCAGAAAGAACAATAGATGAGCTAAGCAGAATAATTTCCTTTTAAAGTATCAAGCGTAATGTGCACCATTGTGAAAAAATAACTAAATGCAATGTAGACTGGATACACTGCAAAAATGATTTTCTTAATTAGAGTTTTCAACTTGTTTATAGTCCAAATATCTAACAATTCACGTATCAAAAAGCCTTTTCTAGACAGTGGGTTTCAAGTAAGATAATCTAAAAACAAGTTTATTTTCCTGAGCCCGTGCACTGGCAAATTATTTAGCTCATTTAAAAGAAAAACATATTTAACATGTACTTAATTAAAAAAAAAAAAAATGTAAATGCTTCTTGATTTAAGATATTTGGACTAGAAACAATGATAATACTTTACAATAAGATTGTATTAGTTAATGTTGGTTAATGCATTAGTTTACTAGAAGTAACAATAAACAACACATCTGTTAAACTTTAATTAATCTTAATTAATAATAACCAAAACTTCTTATTGTGTTATCTAATGCATTAGTTAATTTTTCTAGTTGTCCCAACTTAATTATTCTACTTCTCATGACATGACATTTTTCTAGGTTCAAGAACATCATTTTTCTAGTTGCCCAAACTTAGTTATTCTATTTACCCCAACCTAATTTCTCTAGTTGCCTAAGTATTCTTATTCTTATAACTTTATTTTTCTATTTTCCACAAGTGCATTATTCAAGTTGCTACAACTTAATTTCTCTAATTAGCAAAATGTAATTATTGTAGTTTTGTGTCTATTGCTGAATCTGAGTCATTGTTTTATATTTATTATCTTGGACTCAAACAAGCACCCTTCTTGCTATGATGTGACAGTGCTAACCACTGACCCTTACCTAATGTTAACTAATACAACCTTATTGTAAAGAGTTACCGAAACAAGACAAAAACTCTACGAAAAGCATTTTTGCACAGATCTTGCAAGATCCAATTACACATTTTTATGACTGTCAAAATAGAGAGAAAATAAGAGATATAAATAAGTATATATACTCATAAATTATATATATATATATATATATATATATATATATATATATATATATATATATATATATATATATATATATACTTATAAATAAGAGAAAATCAAAAGCTTTATTATTTAGTTTTTTACATTTTTAGACCTGACAAAACATGTACATGTACATACTGTACATAATTACTTTCTTTCACTTATACTTTTATTTTATAATACATTTTAATAAATTTTATATTAAATATTAATAATATTAATAACAACAACAATCAGCTATATTAAAAGAGCATGTTTATATGTCAATATTTATCGTTTTGGCTTCAGTGTAGGATGAATATAAAAATCTTATGCTGTAAAAGCGATGAGAAAATGTCACTGGATAGAACAATATAACACAATATGCAGCCCTTCTTTCAACTAATTGACAGTGATTTCACTTAATAAAACATTATTAATGCAAATTATTATGTTAACTCATAGAAAAGTCTTATTAATTGCATAACAGGAACATTGCCCACAGCAGGAGATCTGAAGTCTGACTGTAATTAAAGAGTTTAGATG